GTCGGTCTCAGGGGTTCGGTGGAGCCTCTGCCACGGAGGTAAAGACACACTGTGTAAAGTCGTGATGACGCGCCTCTTTCCATCACTTGCTGCAGAGGATCACGTTACATTGCTGAGCCAATCAGTGCTGCGAAGGAGCACTGATTGAAGGAGCTCCACTCTCAGCGTGAATTTTAACTTGTGTCTTTAATTACTTCAGCAAAACTCACCGTTTTTACCAAATTCTGTAGTTTTCGGTGTACTTCTAAATCTGCTCCTTAGTCGCATCTTTTCGGGGTTGGTACTGCCTCTAGTGGCGTGGGGGTGGTAACACAGCTAATATAATTACATTACTAAATCAGAAAACCGCAACGTATTTTGTGTGCCGGGGTTGAGGAGGGGGAAGGGGGTTGGAATAAGAAGGGTTTGGTAAATGCGCATATGCAACTGGGGGGTTCGGTTCCTCAAAAAAGGTTAAGAACCACTGCATTACACTGAGAAATAGCTAGTATAGTGATCTTTGCAGATGTACACTTTCACCAATTTTTGCTAATTGTTCCTGGCTAGTCTGAAGGAGCTGAGTGGATAAATCGTGGATGAGGGCTGCTCTGAGAAACTGCATCTCTGAGGAGGAGCTACGCCTGTTGGTTTGTCTTCTGTATTTTGGATTCCCATCCCTATTTCTGTCTCCTCGCTTTCCGACTGGCTACACGTAACATTCAGCAGGTTGCCTTCTTGTCTGTCTTTCGGAAAGACCACACACACTGCAATATTGGGCCAAGACAACTCGCCAAATATTAGATCAGACTAGTCCAATGTGCTTCGGAGAAGACTATATCACTCTTAGCACACCACACACAGAAGATCTCATAAGATTATCTTTAGAGCCGCCACAATAATCGGAGGGAGAAGGAAAAATTGTTTCAAAAATCGACATCAATATCTTGATGTGTGAATTAGACATAAGTCATCCTCTGCTGGAAGGTTTTATCCAGAGCACAATATGACAAATAAGTAGCCAGACATGAATTGATCAAATGCCAAACCAAACAGCAGGTACACGACGAAATAACTGAGAGAGCAGTGGGTGAGGGGATGTAGGTGCTGTTTCCACGGAGCTAACAAGCTCCATACCGAGAGATGGGAGCATGAGGGAGGTAGGTTAGGTAGGCAGAGGGAAAGAAAGAAGAAAAAGCAAGCAGGAATGAAGAGGCGGGGTGAATGGATGGAAGGGAAGGGAGACATGCTGTGGAGAGTAGGCTCATGATGAAAGGCCAGGCAAAAAAAATCTCCAGGATAGATTGCCAGTGGGAAAAGAGTTGGAGAGAAATGAGTGAGTCTGAAGAAAGTGGCAAGATTGGCAGAATCAGACGGTTGGGGTTACAGTCAGTCCAACTGTGAGGAGAGACGCTAGATTACTTCTTATCCCTCCTCTGGGTATGCTAAGAAGTTTATAGGAAGGCAGGAAATTTCCTGACACAAAGCTTACCTTTTTTATTATTATTATTATTATTATCAGCGGCTGTTAATAATAATAATAATAATAAGAAGAAGAAGAAGAAGAAGAAGAACTTCTCCCCGGAATGATTTATTTCAGGGCTTTCTATTAGACAATTAAAGGAAATCAGGGCAACACAAAAATTTAGTGACTGTGTACAATTTGATCAAAGGTTTTAGTGTTCATCTCATTCAGAAAACAGCTGAAGAAAAACCACTGCTGCTGACCACATGAGTTTTCACAGGACTTAGGCAAACGTACAAAATTTTGAATAAAATGGATGAAACAGCAGTGATATGAATGCATCCCAAAATTGATCATTTAGGATGGATTCACGCCAGCCCTGTTTAGTTTGCTTTAATCAAACTAGTTTGATTAATGGCTCGTGGTGAGTCCATTATTGAAGAGTGTTTGGCAGAAGATAAATTTTACAACCACTAAATTCCGATGCTACTCCAATTTTGTTTGGATTTTGTGAAGAAGGAAGTTGTTGTTCAGAGGTTTTTGTTCGTTTCCTTCAGTGTTTCTTGGTGCAGCGCCGCCATTTGATCAGGTTTTTCAAATGGTTCAAGTCATTTGACACAGTGCCGTGTAAAAGCAAACCGCACCAGCTGAAAATGTAGCGACTGTTGCAATCTTGGTCTCCAGTCTAACTAAGTCTACCTGACTCAGGTGTGAAAACAGACATAAAAAATCGACCCTCCCTGGATTTTAACCTGACCCAGAAATCCACCAGAAGTTTGCAGGACAAGAGAATACACAATGTTGGGTTCAAAATAAAAGTTATGGCATTTTAAAAATATTTTTGCAAAACTTTGCCAAGTAATCAGAAAATAATCCAGTCGAGGTTCTTCTAAAGAAAAAAAAAAGAAAAAACAGTGAAATGGCTCTTTATTGCAGCTCAAAATGAAACTGTAAAACAAATATGAACAACATGCCTCTAACAACAGTCTATGACTCAAAACGGGATACCTCAGGAACTTCTTCCTTTTTGTACAGCCTTATCTGAGCTCAACCCCATCAGGATCTATTGACGTTTTCTTTGGATTTGGTCAACATAATCTCCATTTATCTGCCTGATGGTTCTTTAAGTAAGTTTGCGCAGGTTGGAAAGTGACAGGGGCTTAGGAATTGTGGAGTCAGGTAATTGTTTAAACCTTTAGTTGGTGCTGGTACTGAAAGGGGATCCGTCAGGCTCTGTCTGATTCAAATCAGTAGGGGACATTGATTAAACGACCACGCTGTGCGCTCGCTCCGCAGTAATCACCCGCTGCAATTTGTAACCTCAAGAAAGTGAGAGATGCTACAAGCAGGTAAGAGAGGAGACAAACGACACAATCAGCCGTGGGGAGGTGCTGAGCTTGAGGGCCGATGGCGAGGCTAAATTAGGTTTTTAATCACTGGACACGAGTTTTAGCCAAGAGCATACGTCAAGTTGTGGTTTAATCACAGCTCTCTCTACCGGGCTACCCAGGCTCTCCGGAGACTCAGAACTCTGAGGCAGATACCTTTATGTCTGAGCAAATAAAGCTGGATCACGGGGGATAAACCAAGCCATTAAATTCTGACTCTGTGACACAAAGAAGTGTCCCTGCAAAGCTCATTCAAATAGCGCTGACCAAGCAGGGCGAAGAGCTTTGAAATGCCTCAGCATGCATTCATATTGTCGCAGGCAGGTTGCTTTAGGAAACACATCTGAGGACCGCAGACGATGATTTAGTCCTGCCTTTGTCAGCATGCAGCCGTGACTCAAACTGAAGTGTCTGTTCAAAGTACTTTAGCCAAACGGTGGAACACAAGTGAGTTCAGCAGAACTTTCAAATTGGTTCTGCAATATCTAGAGCTCACTTCTACAGAAGGTCCATTAAATGTATCCTTCTGTCGGCACAATGCGGTGAAGTTTAGATTAAATCTCCAATATACTTTGTTCAAATACAATAGCATCGCAGTACCAGAGCTCTTATGTACTCTGTCTTCAAAGCTGTTTTTAAGGAGAATTATAAGTGACTGTATTCACCCAATCCTCAGTGTCCAGTTTATCTCTCAAGTCCTACAGTCACGTTCAAACATGTTTTGTTTTACAAAACTAGATATTGCACTACTTTTGTAGTTTCTGCAGTATGTAGGAGAACCACTAAACCAGGGCATGCTGAAGAATAAAAATGGAACGTCACAGTGGAGTCTGGTTGCTGTTTATGCTGTTATTGATGTAGACGCCAGCATTTCTACTCTTCTTCACTGGTTCCATTTCTCTTTCCGCATCAATAGACGCCACTGCATTTCTGATAGAGAATGGAAGATGCTTGGATGAACTCTGTCCCACCAAATTACACGACTGTTCTGTTCTTCTGTAACAGTAAAAGTTTGTATTTTACCTACAAACGTGTCCTCCAGTTGCTTACATGGCTGTCAGTGTGTACTGAAAGCTCCTTTATGAGATTTATAGTCATAAATGTGCCACAGGATGTGGAGCTAATGGCCAACCAGAGCTCTGAGTATTACAATCATTATTTCAATTTCCTATTGCTTTTACTCTGCTCCAGTTGTTGTTTCCTTCACGGTTGAACTAATAACATTCCTCTGACTCTCCGTTCCCACTGTGATGAGGATTCATTCTCTGTTACTAAACTGAACTTGGACAAAACCAATCGAACATCGTAGAAAACCAGAACAGGAAAATAAACTGAGCTAGGGTTTCATTAAAAAGAAAAATGGAAAACATATATTTTGCGGGTGAAATTAAAACTGTTTCACCAAACATTTTTGTTCTCAAGTCAAAGACAAATATTTGAAAGTGAACAACTTTGTGTAATTTAAAATTATTCACCATGCATGGCTAAAAAATGTTCACAGTTTATAGTTGTAAACTGTGCATGATTATGAAGTGGAAAGAGGAAAATTGAACATTTTAGCTAATGAGACTTTCTGCTTTAATAATTAATTTTGTCACCCCAGCATTCAAGTTTAACATTTTAAACCAGAAGTTAAGAGGGAAACAACTTTTAGCACATCCTGCAGGCTAATCATAGTCAGTAGATTAAAAACTTGCTTTTAAAGGGGCAGTATTGTGTAAAAACTACTTTTTTGAGCTTTGCATCATGTTATAATGTTATTCCCTCTTGAAAAACATACCTGGAGAGTTGCTTTGATTCTTTTATGCATGTTGGAGAAATCCTTTAATCTCTATGGCAAACATTCAGTTGTGGAAATGCTGATTATACGCTGCTTCTCAGTGTAACGCTGGTAAAAACATTGTTAAACGTTGCTAAACATAGAGGAGCGCGATTGTGATGATTTCCTGAAGGCGGAGTTTCACAAAGAGCAGGAGCTTCTTAAAGAGACAGAGGCCCAATATCAAGGCATTAGATTAAAAAGTCAAACTTTTTTCAAGTAATATTTGATATATATAGCAACTGAAGGTACAAAACACATAACATTGTCCCTTTAAGGTCTTTTAGATGAGGGATTTCTACTACAATACTTGCCACATTTGACCACACCTTCTCTTTGTCTTCCTTTTAAGCATCAAGATGGTGCTGATGTGGACCAGTGGCGACACCTTCAAAACGGGCTACTTCCTGCTCACAGAGGCCCCCGTGCAGTTCTGGACGTGCGGCCTACTGCAGGTGTTTGTGGACGTCGCCATCCTGTTCCAGGTCTACTACTACAGCCGCTACCCGCAGAAACCCGTGTCCCACACCGTCTCCCACACCACCAGTGCCAAAGCTCTCTGAGGTGCTGCTACGTGTCCCGAGGAAACTCCGAAAGACGAGCAGCGAGAAACGGGGGGTGGAGGGGGATGCCCAAACACACGCACCGAAGGAGTTACTGCTTCTGCACCTCGGCGGTCGCAGCAATACCTTGAGGAACGCTCAACGATCATGAAGACTTCTTTCTTTCCCGGCGCTGAAAATGCACGCATCATGCAATCGCACCCCACTCAACAAATCAGCATGTGCATGTGGAGGATTTTCATTAATTTTATATCCTTTTTTTGTTTGTTTGCAAAAGCAAAAGCGCAACGTATGAAAACTATAGATATATTCGGAGCTCAGAGGAATGTGGATGAGATTTTGGTGTCCACACATGCTGATGAATGTTGCACGGAACCTCTGCCTTAAGACTCAACCACGGCTCAATGCATTACCAGCAATCCAAGTGTTGTGTTCAAAACCTGTAGGAATCCACATTACTGAATGTACAAACGGGCATGTCTGGTCTAGTTGGACAGAAGTTCAAAATCATTGTTTTGTTTTCTTTTGGGTCTTTTAGTTTTTTAAACATAAAACCAAATCAAGAAGGAATTCTCTGAGAATTTTTTTCTCGGACTCTTTATGATGTTACACTGGGCTGAAAATGCATCACTTAGAAAATTTAAAAAAAACATTTGTGGCCTTGAGACAGAGATAAGAAACTGAAGCTCCTTATGGCAGCAATATATGTTTTCTATCAGCCATTGATTGCATTTTTTATATTGTTATTATTATTATTACTCTGATGCCACAGATTTCAGCCTCAGCTTTGCTTTTCCCAGAAAGTGTTTGTTTCCACTCGACTGCTGGGTTGTGACATCAGAAGCTGGGCTAATTTGGGTTACTGACTTTGTGTTCATTGTTGAAGCTAAAAAGTGTCTCGTATATGTAAAATAAAAAATACAGTGCAGTTTTCCGGACGCCCTCCTAATGGAGCCAGTTAGATTTTCTGTACATTCAGACTTTGCTCCTGATTCGTTGCTGTGGACAGATTACAAAAATGTAACCAAATTAATGTAGTATTTAATAATCCACATATGATCCCGTCCATATTTTCTGAGTGAGACATGATGTATCGCTGTTTCTTCTGTTCTATTTCTTCCCCTCAAATTTAAATCTTTCAAATCGTCAAACAAATTTTAATACAAAACTGAAAGATTTCATTTATGAAAAGGAGGAAAAGTGACCACACCAGGTTGGTTCTATGTGAAAATGACATGGACACCAGCCTGACCCATGTCCGATTGGTCCTTATGTAGAACCTACTTGACAACATGAAGCAGGCTAAAAGATCTCAAGAAGCTACACATCATATTTGAAATCAAATTGGAATAAATGTGATTATATTCATCAGTTTGGAAACAAACCTCTTTAGAAGTTTGTTTTTAGATTCTATACTAGAGTACAGAGAAACAGAAAACACACCAAGTCCACCTCTGAAAGCTTGTAGAGTGGTCTAGTCAAAGTCTTGATTTTAAGATGCCATTATATGATCCTAGTTAGTCATTTCATGCTCATAAACCCTCCTAAGTGACTGTATTGACTGTACAGAGTGGGTTAAAAATTCTCTGCAGTAAAATACTTATTTCCAGTTACTGATTGTTTAGATTTTCACATGGAGTCAGTTTGGTTTGGATATAATTTTCTTTCTTGTGTTGCCTTTTGCATTCATTTTTATTTGGTTGTGTTTTGTTGCGTGTTTGATAAACTGAAACAAAAACCAAAAACAGAAGAAATCTGAAAATGGAAAAATTCTTTATGCCAGACTTTTTTTTTTTTTTTAAGTATTTCAAAATTTCAATCGCACTGAATACTTTGATCCAGTCCAGGACTTTCTCAGCCTTCAGTCACGCTGGGAATTTAGATCAACAAATCTTAAATGGACAAAACCACTTTTGTCTACTTAAGAACTCTTTGTTCTTTTCTTTCATGGATTCATTTATAATTTCACTTTTACAAACTTTGCATTCTGTATGAGTCTGTCCTAAAAGCCATGTAACAGACTGAAAGTGCTTTGTTTTGTTGGTGATTGAAAACGGTGTTATGTAAGTCTAAATGTGAGAAAACCATTCACCCGTTTGATGCTGCCGTGTTGTGTACGGAGCGGGTCCAGTCCAATGAAAGGTATAAAATTTAAACTGTGCTACTGTGTCAGAATGGGGTATGTTGCTCCGGCCATTGTCACTGTCTTATTTTTTTTTACTTTTTCCACAATATTATTATATACTGCTCAAAAAAATAAAGGGAACATTTCACTTTAATTTTGTGTGCGGTTCCAAATCCAGGCCTCCATTGGTTAATAAATTTGATTTCCATTGATGATTTTTGTGTGATTTTGTTGTCAGCACATTCAACTTTGTACAGAACAAAGTATTCAATGAGAATATTTCATTCATTCAGATCTAGGATGTGTTATTTGAGTGTTCCCTTTATTTTTTTGAGCAGTGTATTATCAACTAAGTATTTTGTCTTGAAAGTTTAATGCCGAGATCCCTACGAGTTCAAACTGTGTTTTCTGCCATATTAATTAGAAAAGTAGGTTGGGCTGCTGTCAGTTGAGTTGCTCCATGTATTTTGTATTAAAACATGAGGGAATCTTCATCGGCGCAGACAGAGAATTTGCATAAAGTTTCATGAGATTAGAGGTAAAAAAAAAATAAGCATTTGTTACCAAAGCTGTAGCTATGTTTTGTTTATGCTGCAGTGATATTGCATTTTGAATTCGGGGCCTGTTAGAAAACTTTGACTCTACATTCATAGCTTGAAGAGACATTCCAATTGATATTCTTCAACTTGGATCTTGGAAATTCAAAATCTATCGACTTATTGGACGGGTTTGACATACTGAAGCTAATAGATCTAAGATTAAAAGTAACACTATCTCAGCAATAACACAAATCTAAAGCAACGATGTGTCGTATGATTTCACTGCTGTTAAAAAAGCAATCTGCCAACAAGCTCAGAGTTTGCCAACTGTAGTTTTAAAATGCCAAAGTATGTTTTTCTTTGCAACCTGAAATACTTCCCAACAGGTGTGTTTTTTTGTTTGGTTTGTAATTTTTTTTCTTTAATTATGTAAAACACCTTGAAATGCCCTGCTGCTGAAATGTGCTATACAAATAAAATTTGATTGATTAATTGATAAATGAACAAACTTCAGCGTAGAAAACCATTTTCTCAGTTGGCTGGCCAACAATGCTTAGCAACAGATCAGTACTACATCACTACTGTATGTTCCACGTTTTTGTGGCATTTCATGGACAATAAAGAGCAGAAATGACAAGAATAAGAAAAATGTGGTTGATTTTAACATCATTTTTCACTGGACCAAATCTGTTTACACAGCATTCTTCTACTAAAGAGATTATGTAGCCGTTTCTCTAACTAGCTAGCAACACATTGGCTACTTTCTGTCTTACAGTTCTCTCTTTGTGCTCTGAAGTTGGATTGTCTTTTTGAGGTACAAGGCAAAAATACAATTAGTATTTCTGCTAGTCAAGCTGAAATATAGCTTGACTAGCAGCTTTATTTGCTTTCCAACATAGCTGTGTGTATGTAAAATGCAGTGAAGATGCTGATGCTAAGCTATTTATTAGCTCTTCTGTTCTATGTGTTTTAACACTCAAATAAAGAGACAAACATTATTCATCAGCGCATAGCTAGTAGTAGTTTTCAGTACAACAATCCCTTGTTTTTATTCTAGCTAGAAGCTAGTTAGTAAACTAGCTTTCCTAATTAGAAAAAACTAGTTTTCTAATAGAGGCTAGCTTCTAACTTTCGTCGTAGCTAGGAGCTAGTAAGAAAACAACAGAATACTCCTAACTTGGGAGACATATCCAACACAGCATCAAGCTAATGACTTAGCTAGAAAATTAGCATTAGCTCTGTAGCTCTGTTAGCATAATTATGCTTTAGTGAACTTGATGACTTTGTCCTTTTTTGATGTTGATACACATTACAACATAACATATGTTGTAGAAGATGACTTTATTCATAGCATACATTTTACAGGAATAAAAAAGAAATTATTGAAAAGTGAAGTGACTAAATGGGATTATGGGAAAAAAAACTCTTTTGGATTAAAAAGCATATTAATAAAAATTAAAATGGCCTGTTGGTAGATTAGACTCTCTATAGTGACATATTAATGATTATAAGAGCACAGTGATTACTGTAATACTGCTTGGCAATGATAATATCACATTGGTAATGTTATGCTACAGAGATTCAGCTTCCATGTTTTTAAAATACAATTATTTATGATAAATGATTACCAAAGCTTGAGTTGTTATAAAATGTTACTATTTTTGTATTATATCAGCCTTCAATGTGTTCAGCAAAAACTGCATGTTTTCCTCTGTCAGTGATCATCACTGTTGTTTACTTCAAAACTATGAGCATCATTTCATATCCTCCTCCATGGATCCATGTTACAGCATATTGTAACATGTTACAGCATATTGATCTGGGCAGGCTGTGCTCATTGTTGGCCAAATGAAAATAATTTCCTTTTTAGGGACCGACTGGGGAGCACTGGTTTTAAGTTTCTTCTCTGTGTATTTTAGAGGAGGAGCACTGACTGTCAGCCCTTCAGTGAGACCTGATTCTGTCCTCTTTTGCAGCAGAAACTTCTCTGTTTCCACACGGTCTGGCAAAACGCTGCTCTGAATATTTTTAGGAGGTAGAAACAGAAAAAGGAAATAAAAAAAAGGTCCTCCTTGAGTGACTCTGTGGCAGGAGCTGAAGTGTACATTTTATTTACAACTATTTTATTACATGCTTTTTGTACTATCTTCTAATGCCAATGTAAAGCGGTGAACAGCTGTTATTTAAAGTCTGTCGTTTGGATCAGATCAAGTTGAGCTCAGAATGGGACGGTTTTTGACTGTTTTCTGTTTTCTCTCTAAACCTGGAAACCATTGGCTTTTTTCTTCTTTTTTTTGTATGTACCAAAAATATCAGTACCAACTGTTTGTTTTTTATTGATCCTCCTACTGTTGCTTCTTTTTTCTATGAAACTCTCGGTCCAGTTCGACAGCTCACGGACTCTCTGGCCTGTTTACACAGTGTTATCAAATGAACTGTGGCATTACCACCCAATAAAGACACTGCTGAACCTTGACATTATTTTTTTCCCCTCAACATGACGGATATGCTTTTTTTTGTTTTGTTTGTTTTTTTCCTACCAGACATGCACAGTTACTCTGGGAACCATCAGCTGTCAAAGGTGGAAGGAGCCCAGAGCTGGGGTCCTTCTCTGGGCATCTGAACGGTGAGCAGCACAGAAATGAAAATGAACAGAGCAGAGACGATAACAGGAAAATAACACAGTGGAGTCCCCAGACATAAAAGGAGTTTGAAAGGACATTTTCCATATAAAGAGACAATTTTTTGAATATAATGAATTCATTTCAAAACTTTCAGGGCTCCATTTACCAAGATGCATTGGCTCTTTATGCGAGCACACATTAACTTCTCAGTCTGACTGCATTATTCTGTCAGTTATTTAATGTAAAAAAAGAAAAAAGTGTCAGTCAAAAACTGTCTATGACTGACATAAAAGTGAAGGAGAAACTAAATTACAGGCTGAGAAGGGAAAATTCATAAAAAATAAAATTCATAAACTAGTTCTGATCAATCTGCTCTTCAGTGCCATGTTTGTGATGAAACCAGGTCAGCGTGCCTCTTCTGTCTCATTACTGATTTGAAGAGCTGAAACGATTAATCCAATTCATTTGATTAATTGTGATAATTCGATTAATTAATTGTCAACTAATATAATCGATGAATCGTTTGTAGCGAAGTGTTTTTTGCCTTATTTGAAACTGAAATTTTTCTTTCATTTTTTTGCCTCCTGTTTCTTAAAAGGATGTTTTGTTTTTTTTGGAATCCGTGGTTGTTGGTTTTTTGGATCAGTTTTCTCTCAGGTC